GAAAATACTCATGAATTATTGTCACAACCTCTTCCTTAAACCACTTTACTTTCTCATCTTCAGCTTGTGCCTGTCCATCTTCACCTGAAGATTTCATGAACAAAGCATCAAGCCATCCTTCAGAGATAGCCTTGGGGACGAGGGATTGAAACAAGGATTTTGCAGACGGGATGTCAAGAGCAAGGTCATCAAGGCTCTCTGCCAATCGAGCAAAACCCTTTGCCATTTGACTGGAACTTATCAGGCCTTCTTCAGAAGCTTCCTTCAACAGCTTCAATATAAGTGGTTCTGCAGTTCGGATCTCCATGGCAAGAACCAAAGCCCTCTTAACAACCTCATGATGAAAGAATGAAACTCCTAACTCCCTTATGCACCTGCAGGCTTCAACAGCATCTCCACTCTCCACATATTCCCTCAACAGATCTGCAATTTTTTTCTTCACTTCCTCGACAGTTATGTGGGTGCTTCCACCCCACCTCCTCTCCACAAGTTCTGCATGGTGTGGGGCTGAAAGATAGTTCTTTTCAGTAGTTTGCAGAACTTGAAATCCCTTTGAGGATTCTGGTAGGGCCTTCTTTGCTCTGGTGAGGAAAGCAGGAGGAAGGATATCGTCGACCACAGCACGAGCTACAAACAAAGCAAGGATGTCAACTGCATCCAGTATGTCAACTGCAAGATCATCAGCGGACTCTAGAAGTATGACAAATCCATCCCTAATCTGCGATGGGCTGATGACATCAGCATACAGTGCAGAAAGCAGAACTGAAGCCATTTCCTTCTCCTTATCATGCCTGTCCATGGCCATGGAAACAAGTCGCTTGATAAAGTACAGATGATATTCGCTAGACCCAAGTTCTCTGAGGTCAGATGCAGCCACTTCCACATCACCAGTACTAAAGTACTCCTCTATTATTGAAACAACAGCCTTCTTATAGTCATCTAAAGGATCTGAGATGGTTGCCCCAACAAGCTGATATGGCTCCTGTCAATAACAGGACAGAAGGGAGAAATCTACAAGTCATGATACGAGCATTTTACCCAAACAGTTCGGAGGAGAAAAGCAAGCAATAAAGAACAAAAATAGGAGCACTACAAGACTAAGAGCCTGGCATATATACATTTACCCAAGAGCATCGACAAACACAAAAAGATAAATTCAAAAAGTTTGGGATGAATAAATCACATTGCAGGAACGGCACTTACCTCTCCACTATCATAGTTAGGATCATTTCGATCAATATGGGATTCAACATCAGTGTCAAGCAGTTTTCCCCATGTTCCCTTGCCGCCACCGCCATCTGAAATGATCGAAAAGAGGACAAACACTAATCAGCATGAAGATAACCATAACTTTTTCTTATAAAAATAGTGTCAATAAAACTAATAATTCTTTCTTTATTGGCCATGCTTGCAGGACTTTGTAAACAAAATTATCTAATATGCACTAATTTGTTTGCCGGACTTTGTAAACAAACTGATCTAATATGCACTAATTTGTTCTCTCTTCATTGGATTGGTTATTTAGTGCCAACTAATGATTAACATGTCAAAACAGTGTGGACCAACTGTTCAATGAGCTTTATAATCAAGTGCAATATAGTGCCACCAAACTGAGACACAAAAACGCGTAGCGCATTTTTTCTGTGTTCTGAACCCCAAAGGAGCCATTGGTCTTCTACAGGCCAGGCTCCCCTCAAACCAAAAAATCCCAGTCATTCAGTATGAAGATACAAAACTGGTATATATCATCAAATTAGTAGTATTTGATATTCTTCAATTCCTTCAATCAGCATCATCAACATACAACTAAACATTAGACTACATTAGATTAAAGTTGGATGGCATTCAACCATTGAACCGGGTATTATGGCCCCTAACTTCCCTTGAAAATTTATAAAAAGGTCACTCTCTCAGTGAAGGTTATATCGTATCATCAGAATAAATATTTCACAAGCTATGCTGATTAGAGTAGGCAATGAGGACAAGTTAATTAATGTATCAGCATTTAATAACTTTAATCTTATAACTATCATGCACTAAGAAGAAAATGAAAATCTCCTTAGCCATACATTATGCTTATTATGATCAATAATATCCAGAGTTTCTTGGGCTCATATGCACAGTTATCACCGCTTTCAGCAGATAATAGATGCACAAAAATCTTATTGCGGATGTAAAGATAATATATCTTCTAAATGTAGATAAACAGCCTCCACAAGACACATATTAAAAAGTTAAATCATAAAGGAAAAGCTCACAAGAAACATACTCATCCTTTAACATTCTAATAAATATTCTCTCTTCAGTAAAGTGTCATAGACCCACAAGCTTAAACTATGCGATAACAATTATTAAGTTCAGTAAAGTACGCTGCAAGGAGTCGTTTCATTCATTCTCAAAAACAAGCACATTGTTTGTAGGTTTTCAATCAATTTCCATATTATCACCCAGTTATCCCATTTCACTACTATTGATCTTTCCTTCTATCCAAGCATATTTTATCTGAAATCTATAAAGTTAATTAAGCCATGTTCTAGCCACCATCCAATACACCTATTTTCAATCCCTCAAATAAATTTAAGATAATCCGAAAGCATCTCATCCCAAAATAAAATGGCACAGTTGCACTAGATCATCAGAATGACCATTTGAATGTAAGCTAAATAAAAAGCTAAATCGATTCAAATCTTATACTGAAATTCAAAACAAAGGAAGCTATACATCCATTAAGCATATATCAAGCAGACTATTACTCACGAGTCATCATACAAATTATAACCACTCCATTTGCAACCCACCTTTCTTAACACGCACATGCTTCCCCGAGTGTGATCTCCTGACATGCCTCACCGCAACCCCAGCAGTACCGGATTTCCCCGCAGCAGGAACTTTTAAGTGATGGTCAGAGAACAATGGGGATGGGAACAAACCCTTGGGAGACGAAGACAACGAATTCTCTGCATTTTGACTAGCTGTTTTCAACATTTCCCTCTGCTCATCCGTCAGAAACCCCTCACTCGTCGCCATTTTTACACTTGTCCAATTCTATACAATCCTCAAATCTAAACTGCAAATTAAATAAAAATAAATAAATACGTAAGGTAAACATTCTTAGTTTCTAAATAAAATAAAATGAGTGAATAAAAAATATTTCATGAAATATAAAAAGAAACAGAAACTGAAGAAAAAATCAATAAAAAGAAACAGAAACTGAAGAAAAAAAAAATTCAAAATGCTCACTGTCTTTCACTTTCCCTCCTTTTCTCAGTAACCAAACACCCACTCAAAGAAAACAACAACCGACAGTATCGCTATCAGAGAGAGAAAGTAAAAGGACTGAACGTGCGAACACTTGAAGAGAGAAAAGATTAAATCTAAGAAACGGAGCCCGTAGCCGAACCCAATACCTCTGTGCTTGGCTCGGATCTCGAGCCAAGACAGACAGGAGAAGCAACCGGATCTCCAAATCGGAGCACCTCCGATTCGGATCCAAAAGAAGAAAAAAAAGGCAAGATTATTGAATTGAATAGAAGGATAGAACCCTAGATGAGATGGAACGAAACGAGTGGATCCTGGATTGAAGTAGTAAGTTAGAGTAAGGTATTCTCTTGTCTCAATCTATAGTTAAGGAGAGGAGAGAAGGGTGGGAATAAGAATGGTGGAGCGGGGAGGAAGTGTACATTATTTATAGGGAGGCTACGATAACGGTTACACGTCACCGGGGGTTTTGGGTATATTACCGCTTGAGTATCCACGTGGCATTATATCTACAGACTGTTGTCTGTCTTTTGTGTCAACTCGGCAGGGTTGGAGCATCTTTAGGGTTTTTCCCAGCAATTTCAATTACTAAACTATCCTTTGTAGTTTTTCTATTCCCTTATACAGGGTGAGGGAAGAGCAAGGGATGCGTGAAGAGGAGATATTTGTATGGTTTTTTTTTTTTTTGGTGGCAGAAGCTATGCGTTAGGCTTTATCTTTTTTCCTTGATTTCACTTAATTTAAAGAAACATTCCTGAAATTGATAGTGTTTTGAATGAAAGAAAAAGGAATGCTTTTACATATTTAAAGAAGAAGGGCGGCAAAACTAACTAGAATGAAAGGGAGAGCGGTAGACAAGTAAGGTCAGGAATGATTTTATCGTCCTGTTTTGGTTCTGTATTTTAAATATTAAAAAAAAATTAAATTTTTTTATTTTTTTATTAACTTTAAATTAATATATTTTTAATATTTTTAAATTATTTTTATATACTAATATTAAAAATAATTTTTTAAAAATAAAAAAAATTACTAGCATACAAAATTTATCTGACCAAGTAGCATGCTGGGCTTATATGTTGAGATGCGTAGCCTTGGCAGCATAACATAAATTTTTGAGACTATTGGTAGAGAGTTTTCTCTGAAACATTGCATAAAAATAGTTAGAGATTTTCCATAAAAATCATTTTCGTGTAAAACATCTTAGATTTCAAGCCAAGTCGCCCCAATATCCTAAATATACAAAATTTTCAGACACATGGAATACAATATTCCCCATCTAGATTTCAAGAGCGTAACCCAAACCCAAAAAATGTGAATGGCCACCTCCTGCAAGCTAATTGAACCCACCAAGGTGGGAGTTGATTCAAGTTTGAGCTCGTCCCCATTGGTTAGTGGGCTTGAGCGAGAGACCTACCACTATTGAGTTCGTTGATTTCGATTTTGAAGCCCACCATATCATATCTCAACTTAAACCATAAAATTTGGTTTGATTTAGATTAGCAATGGTAGCATTAGTTATGTGCATTAAACTAAAGAGTAATGGTTTTAATAACAGAAAAAAAAAAAACTCACCATGTTAAGGTTAGAATATCAAAAGAGAGCGAGATGACTTAAACATAAAGGTAAGGTCGTGGTGAATCAATCAAATCCATTTTAACAGGGCATTTCTTTTAGAAAGTTCGAACTTCCAAATTGAGCCTAAGTTTTTTTCTTTTCAGATTTTAAATGTATCATCCATATACAACAAGCATTGCATTAGAAAATAATTTCCCTGTACTTACCAAATAGCTTAAATAATTTCCTTGCAAGCAAAACTCAATCAAAAAATGAAGAGAAAAAATAAAGATTTCGCTGCACACTCGAAACTTAAATCTAAACACTCGGAGAAATTTGCCTGTGGCTTGTATCAACCCCTCCTAGTATATAACACTCTTCATGCCAAGTAAATTGCTAGAAGATTTCACTTTCTACATAAAGGGGTTGAGGCTTGGGAGTATCAGATTGTTTGTCTATCTATGTTTCTTACTACACCATGTTGGGCCTCTGCGGCAGGAGAAGATTATAGAACTTGTCATGTAAAAAGAAATTCCTTCCCTTGCTATCAACAGCCTTCTTCCATCCACACCATCCACCATTTACAATTTTCTTGTGATCATCATTGCCAGTATAGTGAGGATCAAGTATTAGAAATGCACAATCTCCACTCACTTCATTGTAATCAACTCCTAGAAGGGTGTATGCAAGAACACCACCACCTACATTTACGTACAACATAGTAAGAGACTAGTATTTTGGTTATTCAGTTTCTATATTTTTACTTTCTTGGGGAACACTATACAACACCATGCAGAAAAGCATTCCATCTTAGCAGAATCAATCTTTTCATAGAGAGAAGATGCATTCGGTAGAAAAATAAATGGGAGAAACCATATCAATATATTTTATCCACTTACCAATCATGATAGGTGTTCCTTGATTCTCAAAGTGCAAGGCCAGCTCTCGACAGTTTTCAGGAAGCTCAGCTCCGGATCTAACATTTATGATCTTGCAACTTACCTGTTAAACACAGTAAATCATCCTGTCAAAACCCAATGGCAGAAATTTGACATTTCAAAAGATTCTGAGCACACTTGCAACAGTATATGCAAATGCCAGCTGAAAACCCCCAATATCAGTTATAAAGGTTTGTTTTCAAGTTGGATGGAATGCATACGTACGCCCAGAAGTTTATCTAAAACAAAGCTCAACTCAATAGCACCAATCCATTCACGTGATCCAATAAAAGAAGGATCTTTATCTCCGATCTCCACAAGTGCTTGTTGTATTTCCCTGCAACAAATGCTGGTTTATCAGAATGAATCACATATTGAAACCAGACTTCTTTTAATCTAGTACAGCTATTAGGCCAACTGAAGCACATGGTAAAGGTAATCTTAAGAACTCCAAAATGTTCCTGGTATTCATACCTATGAGAAGGAACATCAATGGATGTGTAGTGTTGGAGTCTGAACCATGAAATGATAGTCTGCAGAGAGCGATAAGCACAGCCCCAGCCCTATCAAGTACATGATGAACATGATACAGTTAGGAATAAGGTGCAAAAGATGATTAATATATATGCCAGGAATTTCCCTAACAATGCAGTAAATGAACACCAAAACATAGACTCAGGAATTACATAAAAAGTCAACAAATCACAACCGATCCAACACAAGATCAAGAAATAAATATATAAAAGCCTTGAGATGCTCTTGTTCCACATTAGCAGCATTAAAATTGTTGTAATTTGTGGCTCATAGACAGATACCAAAGTGAAGCGGGGCAGTATAGTAAAGGGGTATTAGAAAAAATTATCAATGCTCCTTGAATGGTTAGGATTCCTTGGACGGTTTAGGATCTCCTATAAATACATACTTCGCAACCCTATTTCAACATGGTAAAAAAATAAAAGCTCCTCGCTCCTGTGGATGTAGGTACATTGTCGAACCCCATTAAATCTTGTGTTCTTTCTAGTTTCTTTTCATCAATAATTGTTGTAGTTTTTTCACAACAAGAAACATGCTATCAGGAAGAGTGACTGTGATCATTTACCCAACATACCAATGTTTCCACACAACCAACTTAAGTACCCCTGTATATACTTCAGCTATTAAAGAATAGGATGGCTGTTCAAAACAAAAATCTACCAGAGAAAGAAAGTTTCATTACTGAATCATCAAAGCCATCTTGAAGATAGTGATGGTATTCATAAGAACCTTGAACCAGAGAGACAACGCCTCCTGAGACTGCATAAAAAGTACGAATTCAGTATGAATAGGGTTGAGGAACTGCTGGACAACAGAAAAATAAACAGCAGCAGCACTGACCCCCGCCACTTGGAATCCCAATATGTACATCTTTAAGCAAAGAAGGCCCTGATGTTATCATACAAATATTTTAAGGTTAGTACATAAAAGACAATAAGTGAGAAATAGGAAAGGAAAACATGATAGGTAGACGCCCACTGCAAACCATGCAGAATGTTTCCTATTTGAAACTAAACTGATGGGGACACCAGACCCACACCACAAACTATACGAGTATATGGACGAAGACGGCGTAGGATGGCCCAGCCTGTCACGCTGTGGTTGGGAGACTAAGCCCATTTGGGCCCATTGCATTGTTATTTTATTTATTTAGCCTATTTGGGCCTGTTCATTGTTATCTTATTATTTATGTTAAACAGTTTGGGCCGAGCCCATTAGTTGGATGTTTTAGAATTTACTATTTATATGCTCTCTTGTCATTGTGAGAGTTAGTTTTGATGATTAATGAAAATTTGCAGATTTTGCATATCTCCAATCCCCTTTCTTCTTCTTCTTTGCTTTCTCTTCTCAACTTCTCCTCTAAAAGCTTCTTTCTTTTCCCGATTTTAATTCTTTTGTTTGTTGTTCCGCATCAAATTTGGTATCAGAGCAAGGCTTTTAATTGTTCTTACAATTAAACGGTCTATAACTTTTATATTAAACCCTAAATTCGGTTTGATCCGAAAAAAAAAAAAAAAAAAAAAAAAACGTTCCCTGTTGAAACCCCTACTGTTCACTATTCACTATTCACTGTTCATCGTCTCCATCATCAAATCGGACGCCGCTACCCACATAATCCATCACAGCCAACATTGTTTCGGGTTAACAGCAGCTCCATGTTTTCAGTTCCAAATTAGCGTTACAACCTATCAGCGCCATCAGCCACGCCTCCACCAGCAGCACCTTCAACAACGACACCGGATCAACAGGCCCCGTCCAGCAGCGACACCACCTACAACCACTGAGATCAACAGCGCCGCCACTGCCACAACAGGTCGCCTACGCTAACAGTAGTAAATCCTCGTCGGTGGCAGCACCTTAATCAGTGTTGTCCTCTCCGTGGCATCAACAGATCTCCATCTGCCACCGCTTCCCCGTGTCGTCGCCTTCAACCGTCAGCCACAAGCAGAGCAGCAGGACCGACCGACGACAACCACCACTCTCAACAGGTTCCAACTATCCTCGCCTTCAACAATCACGTCGCGCCGCCAGCAACAATAACGAAGGAAACTCGACAAAGCAGTAGAAGGAGTGTTAGGCAGAAATAATTAACCTAGCCACGTCAGCAGCTCCTGCCACGTCAGCGCACCGCCACGTCATCAGACCGTGCCACGTCAGCACGTCGCCACGTCATCGGCCTCATCAGCATACCTTGCCATGTCAGCTGCCACGTAATCCTTCACTACCATATCATACGGTCAGAAATTTTATCCATTGAAAATCATCATTCCTGGTATGTTTTTACACTTGTTAACTAGTATTTAGCATTAATATTATATTTTGTGCTTGCCCATAACCAAATTACATAGCTCGCCTCTACATTCAATTACCTTAATTTGGAGCCTATTTAGCATCGAAGATCTGATCCTCTTAATTAATTGTGGAGCTTGGTTAAATTAGTGGGAAACTAAAACATTGTGTTTGGATCACTTGTGTGCATTTAAGAGGACTGACATTATTTACTTGCATATTTTCCTGGTTTAATTTGTTATTACTTAGTCTCCAAGATAAAAAAAAAAAAAAAATTAAAAAAAAAAAATTATTATTAGTATTATTATTATTTAGCTATATTTTTATTTTGTGTTTTACTTGCAAAAGTTATTTGGTGATCTCAATCTCAAGATTAGTTTTTGCATGCAATTACGTAGTGGTCGTCTAGTACACAATCTAGAGGTCATAGCTACCATGGACCCGAATTCTAGTAATGTTCTTAGAGATATTCAAGAACAATTACAACTTATGCGAACAGAAATGAGCAACATGTCCAATCAAATGAACAACCTTTCTGGGAGGATGGAGTCCATAGAAACTTTTCAAATAAGACAGTCTAGTGAGAGCGAGCATTCTAGTGACAACCATAGGAATCCTCAAAGACCAGTTCCCCATAGGAACCGCCATCATAATCAACAACAAGGTCACAATGACTTTGATGACCCTCATGATAGTGAGCGTTCCAATGATTACCGTCAAAGACCAGTTCATCCTAGGAACCGTCAATACAATCGCAATCAGGGCCATCATGATTATGATGACCCTGACGAGCGAGTCATGAGGCATATCAAGGTAGAAGCCCCAACTTTTGAGGGTCAACTTGACCCGTGGATTTTTGATAGATGGATCCGTGACATGGATCAATTCTTTGGCTGGTATAATCTATCTGAGAATAGAAGGGTAAGATTTGCAAAGATGAAACTTAGTGGAACCGCTCAGCTCTATTGGGAAAGTGTAGAAGAGTCTTTGATTAGGAGAGGTCAACCCCCTATTACTGATTGGGTTGAAATGAAGACTAAGCTAGAAGAAAAGTACTTGCCCCGCTCTTATAGAGGAAATCTTTTGGACCAGTGGAATAACTTGAGGCAAGGAGGCAGGTCTGCTAATGAATATGTGGCACAATTTGATGAGTATAGGATGAGATGTGCAGTTAGGGAGGATGAAGTGATGACCCTAAGTAGATTTCGAAAAGGCTTGAACGATGACCTTAAAAGAGAGATTGTGCTTAGGGGTGTTTCCACCCTTGATGAAGCTTATACCCTAGTACAAAATTATGACTTGGTCACAAAAAGCCAGTGGACAAGACGGCAGGACACTCGTAATACCCCTTCTAGATCTCAACCTAGTAGTAATCACTCCATATTAGGTGCCCCACCTCGTAAACCCAATCCTTTGATTTCCCAGATACCTAGAGAAGATAAGGGTAAAGGTATTTTTCATGAAGCACCTAAAACTTCAAGAATTCAGTGTTTTAAGTGTCAGGGTTTTGGTCATATCTCCTCTAGCTGCCCTAATAAGGCTTTGTTCATCAAGGAGCAAGAGGGTATGAATGAAGAAGGTAATTGTGATGATAAGGTATATGAACCCAATCCCGATGATTTTCAAGATCTAAATGATGATGATAATGAGTCTAACTTGCTAGGATGTGTTAGGTCTATATCCACTCAAATCAAGACTACTAGGTTAGGTGTGGTTAGATGTGCTTTAACACAACCTAAAGGAACTGAGGATTGGAGAAGGACTGCTATTTTTTACACTTACATTAAATGTGGAGATAAAGGGTGTAAAATCATCATAGACAGTGGTAGTTGCATCAATGCAGTTTCCTCGGGTAGTGTATCCCGCTTAGGCTTAAAGTCTGTTCCACATCCTAAACCTTATAATGTATCTTGGGTTAATGATACATCTATAGCGGTCAAAGAGAGATGTCTTTTTTCCATTAAGATTTTTGACTATCATGATGAAATTTGGTGTGATGTCATTCCTATGGATGTAGGACACGTCATTTTGGGTAGGCCTTGGTTATATGATTTGGACGTTACAATCTTTGGACGATCAAATTCTTGTTCATTCACTTTTCAAGGTAAAAAAATCCAACTTATTGGATTACCCCCGAGGTCTAATGATAATGGTCAGAAGAAGAATAAAGTGAAAGATGGAGGGCTTAACATAATAAGTCCTAAGGAGTTTGATAAGGAGATTTGTAAAGAGTCTGTTGTGTTTGCTGTAGTGGCTAAGGAGATTGTAGAAGACTTTTTAGAGGAGCCACCCGAAGAAGTAAGAGAAGTGTTGAGAGAATTTCTAGATGTTTTCCCTTCTGAACTACCTGATGTTTTACCCCCTATGCGTGATGTTCAACATGCCATAGATTTTGTCCCTGGAGCTACATTACCAAACTTGCCTCATTATAGGATGAACCCGAGTGAACATGCTGAATTGCAAAGGCAAGTATGTGAGTTGTTACAAAAGGGATTTATACGAGAGAGTTTGAGCCCTTGTGCAGTACCTGCACTGTTAACACCCAAGAAAGATGGATCATGGAGAATGTGTGTTGATAGTCGAGCCATTAATAGGATTTCAATCAAGTATCGTTTTCCAATTCCTCGATTGGATGACATGCTAGATATGATGGCAGGAGCCCAGATCTTCTCTAAGATTGACTTGAAGAGTGGATATCATCAGATTAGGATCCGTCCGGGAGATGAGTGGAAAACAGCATTTAAGACTAAGGATGGTTTATATGAATGGTTAGTCATGCCTTTTGGCCTTTCCAATGCACCAAGCACTTTTATGAGAGTAATGACACAAGTGCTTCGACCATTTATGGGAAAATTCTTGGTGGTATACTTTGATGATATTCTTATTTATAGCAAAACCAAGAAAGAGCATTTTGATCATCTTATTCAAGTTTGTACCACTCTAAGAAAGGCAAGTTTGTTTGCAAATGTCAAAAAGTGTTCCTTCTTTACAGATCAAGTGGTCTTTTTAGGGTTTATAGTGTCACGGAACGGAGTCTCTGCTGACCCCCAGAAAGTCCAAGCGATAGTAGATTGGCCCGAACCTAAGACTATTCATGAGGTTCGTAGTTTTCATGGGCTTGCGACTTTCTATCGTCGTTTTATTAAGGGATTTAGCACCATCATGTCGCCTATTACAGATTGTTTGAAACAAGGTGAGTTTAGGTGGAGTAAAGGAGCTAATATGGCATTTGAGGAGGTTAAGAAGAAAATGACGGAGGCTCCAGTAATGCGGCTACCTGATTTTACTAAAGTCTTTGAAGTAGAATGTGATGCTTCGGGAGTCGGTATAGGTGGAGTACTTAGTCAAGAACGTCACCCTGTGGCCTATTTTAGTGAGAAACTTAATGAGGCCAAACAAAAGTACTCAACTTATGATAAAGAGTTTTATGCGGTGGTTCAGGCCTTGCGTTATTGGCGTCATTACTTGTTACCACAGGAATTTGTTCTTTACTCTGACCATGAAGCCCTCCGCTATCTTAACTCCCAAAAGAAGCTTAATCATAGGCATGGTCATTGGGTTGAATATTTGCAAGCATACTCATTTGTTTTGAAACATAAATCTGGAATAGAGAATAAAGCTGCAGATGCTTTGAGTCGTCGGGTAACGCTGTTATCTA